TGCCTGGCATGAGTTTTAAGTCTCCGGGAAGGGGACTGGAACGGAGGTCAACTATGTGGGAGTCCAGAAACGTAACCATTCCGCCATCTGCGGGTCCCCACTTCTACTTTTTACACGATTGCCTTTCTGCATATTTGCTAGACCAGCTGCCCTTCTGTGTTGGACACAAGGATCCTCTGTCCCCCATATATTTGACTTCAAATGCTAGCAACTTGTTACCTGTCTCCATCCCAGATCCAACTACCCTTGTTCTCCAGAGTCCACGGTTAACCCAAGACCACTCAGCAGTAGCCACTGTTCTCAGTCTTCCCAGCTCTAGACCCTAGAGGTTCTTTGTCCAGTAAAGAATCCTTCCCTCCCCTACCAGCCTCCTGATCACATGGTTTCCCATGCACCTCTCTAAAAGCAAGCCTTAAGCCCCCCACATCTCTTCGCATCAAATGCCCAAGGTGCGCCTGCCTCAAGGCTGACCTTCCAGCCCTGGAAGAGAGATGTGGATTCCCCATAATCCAATCACACGCTGGTTTCCCACATTCCCTAAATGCTCACCAAACACCAGAGCGTCCAACACCTGCCAGCCGTAGACACTAGCGCCTCCATCTCTCCAACCTACCCCAATATCGAACACGAGAATTCCTAGTACCCCGTCCAGAGCAAACTCCAGGATGCGATGCTCCATCCTCAAAACTCTCCCTGCCCCAGACACCTTGCCATCCCTTCGGGGTCACGGATCCCAGGGCGCAGCTCACACGCTGGACTAGCACCGCCACCCAGCTCACCAGCTCCAAACCCTACGACCACCGTTCCCGAGACCCTCCCCAGCCCCCAAATAGAAAATCTCTTGTTCTTCCACTCTCTTGGGCCCCCGAAACCACAGTTTCCGGTCTTCAAGCCCTAGGGTCTGGAATCCTTCCCCACCCCGGACCCTCTTCCTCTCTGAAACCGAGAGCCTTCACTCCCCGTAGCTCCCCTGCACCGAATTCCAGGATCCACCCTCCGGTCATCCCGTGGCCCTTGTCCGCAGGTCCTTCTCAGCGGCAGGTCGTGGGGTCCACCAAGCCTCAGTCTCCCCGACCTCAGGCGCCGGACTCCCGCGCCCCACAACCCTTCCTCGGCCTAGACTCCGGGCTCCCCGGCCCCCGCCCCGCGCACTCTCACAATGTCCATCCGGCCCCGAGTAGCCGCCTGGCTCCGGGTGCGGCTGCAGCCCGGGCGGCGGTGGCTGAGCGGTCCCCTCCAGCTCGGAGCCCCCCTCGGTCTCGACCTCCTCGTTGTTGT